AGCACTGCCTCAGGACCACCTGACTCCATAAATTCAAAGCAAACTTATTCACAAACCAGAACAAAGAGACGAGAGCCAAAAACGTAGAACCACCGCAAACCCACTTGGAACCACATCACCAACTCCGATGGAAGAAGTAGCTACCCACATCAGAGCTGGATAAGTCTTGCACACCACGCACTATAAAATAGAATCGAAGTTGGAGAAGCAACCTAAACACAACGAGAAAGTGATACTCAAACCCGACAACATCTCCGAAAAATTCCAAGCCATCAAAACCTCAAATGCCCAAACCAGACCGGAACATACCATTACCATATATTACCACCTAAACAAAACTAGACTCCTATGGTTTGCTTAAAGAGCAAAGAATCGAAGCCAAGTTTGACCACCAAAAATTACTAAAATTTTTTAAAAATTGCTACAGTTTTTTAAAAATATAAACTTCTAATTGTAAAATCATTAGTTTCTTATATATCTACAAATTTTGTAAATATTGTTTTGTTTAATTTTCTTATAACTGTACAATTTTATATCATTTTTCTTAATTTTATACCCATTTTCTTAATATATTTAACTAATATAAATGGATAGAAAAATCTATCTATGATTATAATTTTAAATATATACATATAATTTTAAATAAAAAATATTTTATCTTAATTTAATGTTTAATTAAATAAAATCTATATTTAAATATTGGTGAGAAAATAATAATATATATACAATTAATAAAATTTATATTAAATATAATTTAAGTTAAAAAAAATTCACTGCACCTAGTCTATAACATTATTTGAGAAGTAAATTTGCTTAGTTGTTATGTTCTCCATAAGTTTAGGTAATTTTATTTGTTTATGGTATTTTTAATATTTATATATATTTTTTATTTGTAAAAAAAACGAATTTATATGAATATATCATGTTGTTATCTTGAAATATATTTTTATATATAAAACTTAAATTTTAAATTAAGAAATAAAAACTATTATATTTATCTAAAACGAATTTATATTAATAATTTAATATTTAAATCTATAACATTATTTGAGAAGTAAATTTACTTAGTTGTCATATTCTCCATAAGTTTAGGTATTTTTATTTGTTTATGGTATTTTTAATATTTATATATATTTTTATCTATAAACAAAACGAATTTATATGAATATATCATGTTGTTATCTTGAAATATATTTTTATATATAAAACTTAAATTTTAAATTAAGATATAAAAACTATTATATTTATCTAAAACGAATTTATATTAATAATTTAATATTTAAATATAACGAAAAGGAATTTATATTAATAATTTAATATTTCTAAAATAAGTTAATTCTTATGTATTATGCTGTTATCTTGAAAATATATTATGTATTATAAAATTTAAAATTAACATGTAAAAAATCTATACTATTATTTAAGAAGTGAATTTAATGTTTGCTTATTTCTCATATTTTTCATGATTTTAAGTAATTTTGATAGTTTATCATAACTTATATAATTTTATATATAATTTATTATATATTTAAAACAAATTTATATTAATAGTATCAGATTATCTTTTATTAAAAATTTAAAGTTGATATAAAAAGTTGTACTTATTCTATAATAGAAATAAATTTACACTTATAATTATGTTGTTATCTTGGAAAAATATTTTTATATTATACAATTTAAAATTAAAATATAAAATTTATCTATTATTAATTAAGTATAAATCATCACTCAAGAAAAAATATATAAGAAGTGAATTTGCTGATTCATTAAATTCCCCTAATTTTAGATAATTTTAATTATATGTCATATTTTCTATAATCTTATATAATTATTATATAATTAAAACACTTATCATATTATACTTTTAGAAAATAAATAACTTATGCATTATATTGTTATATTTAAAATATTTTTTCTATTATAAAATTTAAAATTAAGATATAAATATTATAATTAAATATAAATCAAGAAAAATAATTATTGAAATATATTTTTTAAATATTTTTGATATTTGAGTTTTGTCATTGATAATTATTTGATTTTTGATTTTTACTTTTTGAAAATATAAATAATAACTTATTATGCTGATTTTTAAATTAATGAAACATCAACTAATAAATATTCATAAGAGAATTATGCCCGCAAGTGCGGACAAAACACCTAGTATATATGTATTTCGAGAACTGCGGAGCTAGAACCCCATTGGGATTGTGTTGTTCTAACATGTTATCCGGCCTATTAGAAATAAGCCCATTAATATAACTGAGGCCAGCTATAAATCGGCCATCTATATTAATGACCACTTTCCACAGCAATTGGTGGGCTTGGAAATCAAGAACCGATCACGAAATCTGCCATGCAATTTCCATGTATTGTAAGAAGTGAAGTTGTATCCTCCCGCTTTGGACGCATTATCTAATGTGGTCCATATTAACCTGGACTTCTAGAGCCATATGGGCCTATGCTGAGTTGGATGATAACGTAAACCAAAGAGAGGCACTGAAGCATGAGCACGATTGTACAACACGGAACACTAGAGTCTAGAGCGTCTGCTGAACTATTTTTTTAACTGAACGTAATTTTCTGGACGAGTGCTCTCGAGTATGGAAATGATTTTTTTATTTTTTTTTATCAACCACGCATTTAACTAAAAACAAGATTCCTAGCTTGGTAACAAATTGACTAGTATAGTTTACAAGAAACAATATAAATTACAAAATGTAGGAGAATATTAAGAAATTACATTAAACGATTTCATTAAAAACTTCAAGACTTACATCAATCCCATTCAATATGAAATAACAAAGGTTGTAGATTTGCATTTTTTTCTCACAAAAAAAACAATAGAAAGTAACAGAACAAAGCACACCAAAGAGATTTCTCTATATAAAATCTCAAATCTTCAAGCACATTGGAAGCCATAAGGAAGTTTCTTGCCACAATAGTTCAACAGTAAGCTCAGATCAACAGGAACATTGAGATTAATCCCCAATATATTGGCTTTAAGAGCGGTGCAGAGACAAACCGCAGCTTCAAGGTTAGCAAGACCATTAAGAAGTGCACAGCAAGGAGTCTTTGGTGGAGTACCAACAAGAGCGTTAACTAAGCCCAATAGGTCTGCGCAAACACCGAGCTTAAGTGTGTCGGTTGGACAAGTGGGTTTAACCGGCGGGTCCTTCTTTGGAGATTTTGGGGCTTTAGGAGTAGTTGGTGGACATTTTGTGGAAGTCACAAAAGTGAAGAAAAGAAGATTAAGTGTGAGAAGAAGAGCTGTAACTGCAAGAGCCTTAGGAGCCATTGAAAATTCTAGGAATGTTTTTTTGGGATGAATGTGAAGGAAAGATAGGACATGGTTTATATAGAAAAAGTTAGTTACTTTAGTAACAGTAATATACAAAGTTAAAAAGAACATGTGATGTGTGAATGCAATGAAAAAATCGAGTAAAAACAAAACTTTACAGCTAGTTGGCTTTTGCAACTTGAGACCATGGCACTGATTAGACTAATTTTGAGATATTTTTTCATTCAAGAAAATGGAGAAGACAGGAGTGTTGTCTTGTTTGTTTGCTAATGTAATTATGAACAGGGTTCCACAATCTTTGTTTCGACATGGTTGTGCCAGAGTGTCTGTCTGCTTGGTATGCATCAGTTTCAGCAACAAGGTGGTATCCATTATACGTTGTTGATAAGATGTTTATTTTACATTGCATTGGTCCCTATTCCTTAGATTCTATTATTAGTGATCTTTCCCTATCAGTAAAATTTTTTTTCCCAAATGTAACTCAAATACATTGCGTTTTAAGTGTTTTAGAAAAATATTATGATGCTTTAATTGTTTCTCAAAGTTTCTACTAATTAAAGTAACATTTTTGTTAAATGACCAATACATAGATCCTTTTTATTCCTTTTCTCCATGTATAGAGGAATTTATGAAAATTATTTTTCCCCAGTTTTGATGAAGTATTTTATTCATTTTCCAGTAATAAAAAGCAATTAAGAGACAACAAACATATTATAACTAAAATAATAATATTATAAGATAATAATAAGGGAAAGTTTGAAAAATACCTTATTTGTGATTTGAATTTGGAAAATTGCACCCTCATTTTTAGTTTTTGAAAATTACACTTTCTTATATATGAAAAGACAGTTTTATCCTAATTTAATATAAACCAAAAATTAAATAAATTTAAATGTGAAGTTATTTACGTTTGAAATAATTATATACTTGATATAAATGATATGTCAATGATTTAAGGGATTTTAAAGTACTAAATAGATATTTTACGTAGATCATACTATAAACACATGAAGAAACTGATATCATATTTGTATACTTGGCTGTTGTGGTGTATGACAAATCATTCATACGAAAAATGTTTTCGTACTTTCAAATACTGTAAGAACAACGTTATGCTCCATATTCACGCCGTTTTTAGTGGCAGTTTGTGATTTTTGTGATTATCCATATCTTTTTGAGTCCTTACTTAAACTTAGAATTTGCTGGATCTACTGCATCTTCTATGCTTGCATCTGTGATTGCCTCATGATATCACTCCTAAAACTAAAGTTTCATAAAAATGAGTAACAAATATGCATATATTGAGAACTAGAAAAAGAAAAAGATATACAACATAAAAATGGAAAATCAGGGAGACGGTACTATACAAAAAAGGAAGAAGATATGTTTCACAAAAATGGAGAACTAAAAGAAATAGGAAGAATATACGAGCAAGAAGGCATTTATTTTGTTTATTTTAAAACAATATATATTTGAAAAGGTATTGCGTAGATGTAAAGTAGTTTTGTTTTGAAAATAAAATCATATTCTTGTGAGACGTCGTTTACATATTTTCTTATGATACATATATATATATATATATATATATATATATATATGTATATATTACAATAATTTTAAATATCAAGACTGGGTAATTTAGTCAATTCACATATATAAAAGTGTAATTTTCAAAAAGATTAAATAATGGTCTAGATTTCAAAACAAAATCTTAGATAAATGTATTTTTCCAAATTTACCCTAATAATAATGTCAATGAAGAGAATATTTCATATTAGTCGTAATTTACATTATTAAAAAAGGAAATAAATCACAAATCTTGAGAAGATTCTGCTGATCGAGAATGATACTTCTTATTATATACACAAAGTTGAAAGATTGTGGGAAACATCAGAACACATATGCGTTTCTCATCATCAGGTCAGAGGATTCAGATTGAGGAAGCACCAAACGTGTTCTCGCCACTGTACGTGATGTAAAGGAAGCCATCTTGGTCTTTCTTCTCCTCGTAGACGCTTGACATGATCTCTCCTGTAGGAGGAAGAACGTTGTCAACGAATATGAAGATAGCTTTCTCTGCACTCAGTTTGATCCTCTTTCGAATCACATACACGAATTGCCCTACCGTTAGGTCTGATGGCACGAGGTATCTGCATTGATAGGATACATAACCAAAAAAACTTTCAGAAAAAAAAAACACATCTAAAACTAGAAAATCTTGAACATAAGATAAGTTAACGTGGGAACAAAGATCATTACTAAACCCTTTCTTAAAAAGGAAAAAAACAAAGATCATTACTTTTTCTTGTCAATGTTTGGGATATCACTTTTCTCAGCCTTCTCCACAATCACCTGCAAGAGAATACAAAACCCATTTCTTGAATGATCAATACAATGCAAAGAAAACGATCAAAATCTTGAAACATAAGAAGGAAAACAGAGGTTTCAAAAACAGTATTGGATCTCAAACAAACAAAGAGTCTTTGTGTAAGAGAAACACGTGATCAAACCCAAGAATCCAAACGTTTCCCTAAAGGGTCTAAATGGGTTTTAACCAAAGAACATGTTCTTGTACGTGGAATCAAGAAACAGAGCATAAAGATGAAACCTTTACAAGAAACAGAGCATACCGGAATTCTATCAGGGTACTTCTCCCTGATCCTATCCGCTTCAGCTTTCCTCTTTTCTATACACAATTAAAAAAAACATCTCGAAGACTCAGATATGAACAGCAAACACACACATGTATGTGCTTATAAACCTAAGATCACAAGAAAGAAAGAAAGAAAGAACTAACCGTAATCGTTGTCAAGCTTAAAGCTGCTGCCTTTGTTCATTTTTAAAGAAGGATCCCAAATCTAAAACCGAAGGTGAGAATTTAAGAAGAAGATCAAATCAACTGAAATGTAAGAGAGAGAGAGAAATAGATGGAATGGATAAGGATGAAACTCTTTAAAACAGAGAGAAGAAGATGTCAACAAAAGGCTAATTCTTTTTCTTGTATGATTGGATAACGATTAACTTTAATACCTATTTGTATAGTATATTCCCTTACGTGTCTATCTCACCTTAGCTTGTTCTCCAAACAAAATCATTCACTTTTTTTTTTCTTAGGTCAATTCTAATAATGTTCGTCTTTTACAAGCCAATAATACTACGTATTATTTACTATAAATACGACATTTATTGAGTAAATTAATACTAAATGCAATTTCACTTCTCTTTCTTTTTAGTGGATGGCACGTCTCATTTTGTGTGGCTCAATGACTTATTGATTTGGGTAAAGATCGGATAATACTACGGATTACTTAGCTTTAATGGGCCATTTTACGTAAAAGAGCCTATATGAGTTGGTTTGACAAGCCTAATTGTAATAGGCCCAGGCCCAATATACAAAACAAACATGATGCAACGCTCTCATGCACAAGTGATTAAGTCGCACCCGCAACAATGGTCCTTAGGAAAAATTCTTAAGAAAAAAGAAAAATGAGTATTTCGGATTATATAAAGATATTTCAGATTTTTTCTTTAAAAAAAAAAAATTGACCATTCACGGACCGCCACGTGGGCCGTGGAACCCGCGAATAGTGTAAGGATCAATCCTTAAATAAGGATTTTAAGGATAGAATCCTTAACTGTTCATGGGACCTACTGATTATAAAATTAATATTTCCCTAAAGATTCCCTTTAAGGATCCGTGGTTGCGGGTGCTCTTAGAAGATTTATGACGTTTGCAACGCATGTCGTGCAAATCCTTTTTGTGTCTTCGTTTCTGTAATTCTGTGCGTCCCTATTCGCTCATCTGGATGATTACAAAGAAACAACAGTAGCGTTTGGCTATCTTCCAAACTAAATCTTATTGAGTTATATTCTACCAACAAAATGTCTCAGAGATACTCAGAATATTCGGTACATGTATATTGTTTTTCCAAAATATTTCAGAAAACTCGAATTTTTTTTTTTTTTTTTTTGTCTCAACATCAACTATTCATTCACCAATAAAAGATACAAAGTTTTGGACCACATTGGTTTTACCACACATACAACAATGCATCTTAGCAACACCCTGGAACACTCACTAGGTGATTTCTCACTCGGATCCAGCGCAACCTAGAGTACATTATTGCATTTTTCACCACAGCGAGAACAAAAGCATCCCACAACCCGAAATGCAATTGTCTCAATCAACCACCTAAATAGACCTCATGATACGAAAACGCTTACTAACCTAATGACTTAAGCTCAAACCGAGATTATAAGTTATGTCTTAGCTGATGGTCCCAAATAATTGACGTGAAATCCATGTCCCAACCAGCATCTTCACCAGAGGTGCATTCTCGGATTAGTCTCTTGTCACCGGTGTTCGCCGTCTCGATCCTCAGCCACAAAACGGACAACCATGTCCGACTGAAAAAGCGAGCTTTAGTAGCAGCAACGTATCGGTGCCGTGAACCAGGCTTCAGGTGTGTGAGACTCGTACCGCCGGTATGAACGGAATATCCACTCCGACGCTGGGATGTAGGGCCTCCACCATGTACCGCCACAAGGAAAGCATCTTAGGTTGACAACTCCTTTGACACCTCCTTGATACATGTTGTCTCTGAGAACCAGAAAACAACCACCATTCACCGGTCTTTTTACCTCGCCTCCGGATGTCTCACCGTCTCGCAGGAAGGTAGATCCATACATGAGGAATCGTCTTCCCGAACCACGCGCCACCACCGTCGCAGAGTTGCCGGAGATCTGGAAAACGGAAAATCAGATCTGGCTCCTCCACGAGCTCTAAAAGCCGACTCCCTCCTCCTCCAAATCCATGAAGGTCTCGCCGTTGTTCCAGAGAGCCGCCAACATACTCAAGAATGAGCCGCCAAATTAACTCTACACATCCAGAATCACCGAGCAAGGAGACCACAAGGCTTCTGGTGGAGGAGAGAGCAAAAGAAAAAGAGAAAAAAAGAAGGAAAACGAAGGAAAACCTCCGGCACGGCGGCTGCTGTACCGGAGTTAGGGTTCGTCGGTTGATGTTTTAGAGATGGAAGGGAGCGTTTATTTTAGAGAGAGAAAAGCCCTTAGAAAACTCGAATTCTTTAGCAATAGCTATATTAAGGGAAGACTGGAAAGTTATTAGTATATTTGACAAATGAGCTATGGACTTGGCATCAAGAAGTATATAGTAAGAGCTCTTCGTCATTATCAGATAACTAGTGGATAATGTGTGTAATTGTACATCCTATAGTTTTATATTTCAACTATCCCTAGATTTTAGCAATTATAGTTAAGTTTTTGTGTACATGAATCGATAACCATCTTGTTGTTGTGTTGGTCGCTAACAAAAGAGACCATTATTGTATTTCTGTGTTTGCTATTTTCTTACAACATTTAACTAGGAACATAACATGAAGATACAGACGTATGCCATGTTCATCTTGATTTATTAATCATAGCTCCATTAAGAAAAATGAGAACTACTAATAAAAAAATTATTAGTAGTTCAAATCCCCTAAGTTTCAAAGCTGGGTTCGAAACAATGTGCTATTAAGAATTTGAAATTTAAAATATAAATCAATAAGAACTAGTGTAATGTATGTACATATACAATGTATATACATATGTGAATATCTACACAAGTGGCACGTTAGTGGTGTCCCTTCTTTGGCTAGTCATCACCCCTAAAGATTTAATAAGCAAGTTGGTAATTTGTATTCTAAAATAACAAAAAGACACAGAAAATAATTTAATGCGATACACATTTTGTTCTAAGACAGAGTTACAATAGTGGGAAACTCACATGTAGGTTTCGTGGTTTGTCTTGGGAAAAAACCATGTCTCTCATAATGACAATGCTCAACAATAATTGTTTAAAATTTCCTGATTACTGGTTCAAGATACTATATACTAGTGGTTCCGTTTAATGCAATTCTGATACATAATAATAACATAATAACCATGTCAAGTTTACATTCATACACAAGCAACCAAAATTTTCAGTCTTGTCTTGGAAATCCAGCTGCAGTTCTCCTTACTTGATTTTCATTTACTCCACGTTCATATATGGACCACTTGATTATCAGTAATGATAAATAATATGGTTGTATGGATTAAACAATATGTTAGCGTGATCCATGTTATATCATCGAGGTGTTTTACTACCACGAATTTTCTTAGAAATTGTGAACAAACATATTGGGACCGTGCGATTAAATTGATTTATGTTGGCAAGAAAATAAATTGTTTTATAGCTAAAATAAGTTTGGTTTCCAACACAGTTGTTTAGTGTCGAGAATATCTTATACCTAATGTAAATAGTTTATTATTACGTTTTTGTTTTGTACTTTCATCGATTATATAAGTTTTTAGCTGTATTATTAACGGTAGACAATATTACCATATTAATGAACGCTTCATTATTTAAATGGATATTTGTTTTTTTGAATCGTTGAAGTTTCTGAGCATAGCATTGTCATCTCCATTGACCAAAACTAATACTCCTTCTGTTTTATTATAAGTGTCACTCTACAGCTGTGCATACGGATTAAGGAAACAATTAATTTTATGTATTTCCTATATAAAAACACAATTACCTATACACCTAACCATATTTTAACCAATAGAAAAATTAGTTACATAATAAAATTAATAAATTTTGCATTGAAAACTGAAAACGACACTTATTTTGTAACGTAAAAAGTTCTCTACAACGACACTTAATATGAAACGGAGGGAGTATATTAAATGATCATTGATAAATCATACAAATTGATCTTTAAATAACAAAGTGCAACGCTAAAACCTTTGTTTCCGCACAAAATACCTGTATTTATTTTTGATAAAAAATGCCAGTTTTGCTTAAAACCGCAAAACATAAACGAAACACAATTGTGAATTATTTACAAAACATACATTGATTAAAAGTCCCAGTAAAATAGTGTTAATTATTTAGTAACACATGCTATCATTAACAACTTTTTAACCACGAGTTAAAGTAAGACACAGAAGTCACACACACAAACCACCCATCTAAGATTTTATTTAGAAAAACAATACTACAAAAAGATGAATACTTCCAACATAATTTAGAGCCACTGGATCTATATCTAGAGAAAAGAATCACAGCCGTTGAAAGAGTTGGTCTCGATGTTTTCAAAAAATCTTCAAAAAGCCACACAGAGACACTCAAATAGAGCACCGGTCCACCAGATTTAGTTTCGAAAACAAGGCCCAAAGCCAATCTGACAGAGTTGTTTCCCTTAAACTACTATAATACCCCTCTCTCGTTTGCAGTGTCTTTCAGTCGTAAGTGAGGACTAGAATTGGGAATTCATGTAAATAAGTAGTAATGAAACATCTGCGTCAGTTTCGTCTTTTTGCTCTGCTTCCTCGGCATTTGTAAGATTTTCTTTTTAATAACACTGTTCAGTCTTTCAGATCAATGATTTTCTTTACGCGCCTCTTTTCATTATTTTTGAAAAATTTAATATTTTATACGTTGAAAATTGTAAAACATTTAATTTTTTAAAAAGAAAAAATACTTTATCGTGATGTAATTTTTGAATTGTGCGGTGGAATTTTTTTTCTTCTGATTACTGTACATTTGTTTTCATTTTTATGTTGGAAACTAAAATGTAGCATTTTGTTTAAATAAAAATAGGGAATATCTTATACCGAAGAGCATCTCCATAGGAGGCTCTTCTGGGGAGTTCACCCCATTCCCAAAGAAAAAAAAAAAAATAATATTATTTTGGTGAACCTCTCTCTCAAACGTTCATGGTGGTGAACCTGGTTCACATGGAGTTCGCCACGTGGCGGCCCCTCATTTATCCGATTTTTTTTTTTTAAAACAAAAAAAAAATTTTAAATTTTTTTTTTGGTGAACCTCCCATGAGGTTCACCAATGGAGATGCTCTAATATACACCAATTTTAATTCTTAATGATAAATAAACATCTCTTATTTCAACACTTGATACATATTTCACTTCTTATTAAACTGTTTATTGTGTTTATCTTATATTTTACATATTACTAATTGCTTAGATCTAGATCAATAAAATCATGTAACTGTAATTTTCATCATGGTTTAAAAATCGGATAGGATCGGCTGGTTGAAACGGTTTGATTATGATTCGTTAAGAAAAACAAGATCGATGATTAAAAATCTGAATTTTTTTAAAATGGTATAATTAACAAAACTGGTGATTTGAATCAACTTTAAAATCCGAGTCTAAAAATAAAAATATAAGTAATGTGTTTTCAATTATTATTAACATTTATCATTTCATAATCAAAATTTAACTATTATTATTAATTGATTTTTTTTAAAAAAAAATTATTAAGAAATAATATATACTTTGGTTTTCATATATTGTTTTCATTTTGACATATGCATATATTTGTAAAAATAAATAAATATGATAATTTAGAACAATCAACTTGTGTTTTTTAGTTTGCAATTTTACATAATATTCACTTGTTTATTATATATATAGTTAGATTTATGTTATTATTTATTTTCTTGTTAATAAAATAATATATTATAGGTAGAATTTTTTAAGTCTATATAATGTAAATATATGATTATATATATATATATATATATATATATATATATATTTAATTTTATGAAAATAGAAAATCTGGTTGGACCGGTCCAACCAATCAACAAATAGTTAATCGGTGCTCGGTCCGAATTTCAAAAACATTGCTTTTCATTGAAGATCACGATACTTCAATTGAATTCTCAAACTTCAAAACTTATCATCAACATAATTTCAATATTCCACCCAAGTTAAACTGTTGTTTTTTTTCTGGGCAAATATACTGTTAAACTGTTGTTTACATCACATTATATCACCATTAAAAAAATGATTTACTTTACTAAGTTGAAAAACCTACAAAAATATTACCAACTGGTACTTTATTGTTATAAAATTTATAAGTAAGTAAAACTAGAGCTGTGAAAAAAAAAAAAAATAATAAACTAGAGCTGTGCACAAAAGAAAAAGGGTAGAATTAGAGCTTATAACTAGATAAGCTAGGGCAATAAGATTTTATAAATTGTTTTTGTTTTTTCGTTCAGCCCACATAGGAACCATTTAATTAATTATCCACTTGAAAGTGGCGAGGGTGATTTATACATTTATATATGACTATACAAGGCAACATTCCAAAACAAAGCAACAAAAAAAAAACTAAAATTGTGACAGAATGACAGCTTATAAGACAAATATGGTGACTAAAATAAAGAGAGGAAAGTGACATTAGAGAGAGTAGAGTCACGCGCTTGATATTGCGAAGAGAGACGACAACGATGGCACAAGAACACGGTACATATGTAAGATAACTACATCTACAGACACAAGCCACACATAGAGGAGGAGGAAGGAGAAGCAACACAAAAACAAAAATCAAAAACTAAAAAATTAAAAATAATAATAAAATTTCTTCATTACACAACCTCACCTTCTCTCTCTCTTCTCCTTTTGTTGTCTTCCTGTTCTGAGATCTCTCTCTCTCTCTCTAATAAGCTTTTTCTTCGTTACTGTGTGTAGAGGCCATGCCCTTATCCTTTGAAAGATTTCAAGGGGAGGGGGTGTTCAGCGTTTCTTCTTTCTACTCAGATTCTCACAAAACCCGGTTTAATCAAACCAAAACCGGAATCGAAGAAGATCTTGGTTATGTTTTCCGTAGCGGTTTACAAGAACCGACCTCTGTTCTCGACGCTTTAAGAAGCCCTAGCCCTCTCGCTTCTCACTCTTCAACCACCACCAACACGACGCTGTCTTCCTCTCACGGCGGTGGTGCCGTCACCGCCACCACAACCGCCGGCGATGATAAATGTAGCTTGGAGTTGGACGATCTCGACGGAGTCATCTCTCCCGATCAAGAACAAAGCATCTTGAGACTCATCATGGACCCCGGTTCAAGCTTCGGTGTTCTCGACCCAGGTTTCGGTTTCGGATCCGGTTCAGTTCCGGTTAGCGAAGTCTCAAACCCTCTGTTATCATGCACCCTCCCGTTTCCGAATCAAGAACCGTTATTATTCTCTCCGCCACCGAAACGGTTCAATTCCGGATCTAACCAACCGGTTTACCCATTTCCCGATCTTCCGGTTCAACAATACCAATTTCACCAGAATCAAATCCCTTCTTCTTCATCTTTAGCTCCGGTTCCGGTTCCGGTTGATGATAATGATCAGTCAATCATCATCGAGCAGCTCTTCAACGCGGCGGAGCTAATTGCAACAACCACCAACGACCACACCATTCTCGCGCAAGGGATATTGGCGCGGCTCAATCACCATCTCTTCAACAAGAAACCTCCGTTTCAAAGAGCGGCTTCTCACATAACAGAATCTCTCCTCTCATTAATCCACGACACGTCACCACAACCTCCACTCACCCCAGAGAATCTCATCCTCAGAATCGCCGCCTACAGAAACTTCTCCGAAACGTCGCCGTTTCTCCAGTTCGTTAACTTCACCGCGAACCAGTCCATCCTCGAGCTAGGCTTCGAGCGAATCCACATTATCGATTTCGACGTCGGGTACGGAGGACAATGGTCGTCTCTAATGCAAGAGCTCGCGAGGAGCAGAGGATCGTCTCTTAAACTAACGGTTTTCGCTCCTCCGCCGTCTACAGTCTCCGACGAGTTCGAGCTGAGATTCACGGAGGAGAATCTCCGAACCTTCGCCGGAGAACTCAAGATTCCGTTTGAGATGGAGCTGCTGAGCCTCGAGCTTCTCCTAAACCCTTCTTACTGGCCGCCGCCGCCGCTCTTTCTCCGTTCATCGGAGAAAGAAGCCGTCGCGGTGAATCTTCCCATAGGCTCAGTTGTGTCAGGTTACCTCCCGTTGATCCTCCGTTTCATTAAACAGATTTCTCCAAACGTCGTCGTTTGTGCGGATAGAGGATGTGACCGTAGCGACGCGCCGTTTCCAAACGCTGTGATACACGCGCTTCAGTATTGTACGACTCTGCTTGAGTCTCTTGACGCTAGTCAGAGTCGGGAGGATTCTGGTGTTGAGAGGTTTTGGGTGCAGCCTTGTGTTGAGAAGGTTTTGATGAAACGACATCGTTGGATTGAGAGGTCGTTGCCGTGGAGGAGTTTGTTTACGCAATGTGGGTTTAATCCGGTGAGTTTGAGTCAGACGGCGGAGACTCAGGCGGAGTGTTTGATGCAGAGGAGTGCGGTGAGAGGGTTTCATGTTGAGAAGAGACAGTCTTCGCTTGTCATGTGTTGGCAGAGGAAAGAGCTTGTTACTGTCTCTGCTTGGAAATGTTAGGAAGAAACCCTAATGAATCTTAATCTAATTTTCATGTTTTTAATGAATTTAATCTCTTTTATTTTCTGAAAATGTTGTTATGTTGTTGTTAGTTTCAACTGTGGTGTTGACATTTGAAGGAAGTAAGGATATATAATCAAAAATCTCCTTTTGTTAGATTCTATTTTGGTCCTTTTGTGTTTATGCAATCAAATAGATTTCTTATCCAAAAACAGAAATTGCAAAAGGGATATGGTTATTTCAAATCAGAGATTATATTTTGCTTTGAGGGGTCTTGTGTGTATAGTTTAGCTTTGCCTCTTTTAATATCGATTACCTTCTAATTATTTACTTGAATAAGACTTGTGGAAAACTATGTCTAGAGCTTATTCTAGTGTTAACTTCATCATGATTACATGTATAAGAATATTGATATACAATACACATAAACTAACAATCAAGAAAACAACCTTTGGAATGTGACAAGTGAAATACTCACGGTACATGCAACTAGAGATCTGTTATTATAACACATTTCTATAGAGTATTAAATTTTTACAACCAGAAAGTAGAGGTAATTGGTTTCTCATTTGTTTTTTTGGAGCTTCCAAGGTTGGATGTTTGTTTAATCGTCTCGGGTCCCTAACATAAGTTATTTCTCTGTCATAAAAAAGTTAGGACTTTAATTTACGTACAATTTGTTTATACTAATGTAAGGATTAGATTTATAGGCCTTAACTGTATTCCTAAGCCTTTAGCTTTAATATATCATATAGTATACATGTTCATTATTGTAATACGACTTTTGTTCTTGAAATCACATGGGTCTATGGTCATTGGTGCTTAATATTATACAGTTTTGTTTATAGAACTTTTTACATGTTAACTAAATTGGACGGTCTTTATTTGGGACCAACCGCCTCATTAAACTAAGATAGATCTAGTTTTATGACGTCGGTGAAGAGAATTAACATTTCTTAAAAACGTGTAGTTTTGTGCATTGGCTGGATTAAAGAAACAAACAGTGTAATTATTAACCCTGTATATCTATTTATATCAATTATTGTCGTCTTTGTTTACTAAGATAAGATCTATATCTAATCCACTAGCATCTCACCAAACTATTAAAACACTCGATAATGGTCTTTAATCTGTTCTAGGCTCTCTAGTAGCGGATCGAGGTTTGCATGTTACTTTGTATGAAATGTTTTTTGTTTTGTTTTGGTTTTCCTAATTTCGAAATTATCAGCTTTTTGACAATATAAAAAAGCATTAGCTTTACTTATTACAGCTTTAAAACTAAACAAAACATATACGTCATCAATAAGATATGGGAATTTAAACAAGAAATATAATAACGTGAATTAACATGGAGCCAAACCGACAACAGACACTTTTGTCTCCATGACTGCCAAAGAAAGCTTCATAATTTCACTTTGGGAATTAATTAAGAGCCACCGGTTCATGCACACCTACGTGCTTACAAACATTACATTACATCACACACAAATAATTTCATCATGAATAAAAATACAATATAATTTGTGTGAAAATTAATTTCCCATAGATTAATGTATTAAATGATTTTTGTAAACTATGCATTAATGCTTCTAACTTTCAAATAAAATAAAATAAAATATCAATAAAATAAAATAAAATAATAATGTTAATACTTCAAACAATTAGCACTTATAAGATTTATAATTATCGTAGTAAATACTTCAGTTTAAGATGTACAACTGGTGGTATTACAAATAGTATTTTTACTAATATTTCCATAGTTTTACAAAATGTGTGTTTAAGGTATACATATTAATGTGACATTTCATAAGAAAGGAATAAACTTTGATAGATACAAAATCTTAAGCTGATGCTCTCCTGCTCCATCTCCATGGCTCCACCAATATCTTCTTCTTCCCAATCATTTCTTCATTTTCTCATCTTTACTACTCTTATCTTTTGATTCTTTAAAGATAAATTAATCTACTTTTTTTGTCACACGATTTAAAAAGTCTGCTTGGGAACAACGCATTCTCCATCAACCCCACATATTTTTAGTCCTCTTTTTAGCTTTCCTTTCTCAATACCTCATTTTAGTTTTTATCCATTTTATAACAAATGTTCAATTTATAGAACCAACAAAATGAAAAAATAAAATCCATTGTCTTTATAGAACAGGGTCAATGGTGGAGTGGTGGTAGACCCATCACCATCAAAATAATTGCAATTCGGCCGTGAATCATGTAATAATTTTAATGTAAATAGTATATAATTAAGGTCAAACTATCATATACTTATTCATTAAAAATAAAAAGAGTTCTTCAGAATTTTATCACATTTATATATGGAGTACCAAATTCCTATGAATACAAAATTAAATACTAATTAAAGCCTGCCCTTCTTTGGAAATTCAAGTGTCAAACATTAACCAAATCCAAACCGGTAGTTGCACAGAACCAAGAAAGCGACAGACCGGTACTAACCAGATAGTCACATATGCTCTGCTTTTCACCTCCTACAAATCTTCTGCATCTCTCAGATGGAAACAACACTGTTCACAGCTATGTTGCTGGGTTACCGTGGAACCGCTTGTAAGCTTTCTTGAAGATAAAGTAGATCATCATCAAACTCCGTAAAGTTTAAGGGAAGTCTTGATGAATGAGTAAGCTAATGCGCCAGTGAAAATGTAACTATCAACCCTATCCAATATTCCACCTGCACCATCATGGACAAATAGATTTTATTAAGAGGAGGTGTGAATGATCTATGTATCAGTATGCTAGTGGAGGGAAATTTTTACCATGTCCAGGAATAAGTGAACCAGAGTCTTTGACGCCAGCATCACGCTTGATCATTGATTCAGTAAGATCACCAAAGACTGACCCAAAGAAGTTAATAAACCCAAAAGCAATGGAGCTGAGGAAACAAATCAAAGAGAAAAAGTATTTACAAACAGAGAGATGATAAGAAAGAACTGAGTTTAGATAAAAACTAAGTAACCTGAAGAGAGATTGAGGCCAAGAGAGAGACTTAGAGAGTAGAATGGTAATGACTATACAACCAACAAGTCCTGTAAAAGTCCCTTCCCATGTCTTCTTGGGACTAATACTAGTAAGAGGTGTCTTACCAAAAGCCTGCATAGTTAAAATAAGATTCAAAACCGCTTTTACTAGTTAAGAAGCTTATCCTCAAGGGCCTTTGTTTACCTTGCCACCAAGAAAAGCAAATGTGTCTGTGGCAATCACACCACTGAAAGAGATCAACGTTGCCACAAGTCCAACAGTCCACTGAGGTAGACCACCAAGAAAAACTGGCCAAGTCCTTGCAATACCTAATAAAGGAGTAGAAAGTCTCTAAGAGCTTTTATGATTTTGAGATATTAAAAGGAGGAGAAAAAGAGGTGAGAGAGAGAGAGAGAGAGAGAGAGCTTACCAGTGTTGAGGGCAGGAGCAGCTAAACCACAACGAAGCTTAACCCAAAAACAAGGGAGATACCCACAGTAAAACAAACCAAACATTGTACTACTAAGCTGAGAAAAACGTGGGTTTCCTCTCTGTACTAACAACGCCATTGCAACAACAAAAGCTGCGCATGTCACCCATATATCAATGTTACCAAAGTACCTGTTCATAAACTCTTGTCTTTAAGGTGAAATCAAACAATAACAAGAACAAAAAGGGGTTGGAGATATTGAACTTACAATGTAAGTAAGGGCATAAGAGCACATATAACAGAGCAAAAACGAGAAACATATCTAGGAGGAGGAGTCATTCCTTTAGCAATGCCTCGACTTCTAACGAGCTCGAAATATTCACGAGAACCGATGAAAACAGAAGCTGATAAGGCTAAGGTGAAAACCCATCCTCCAGCTAAGACAACACCTCCAACAGGTAATCCAATTGCAACACCAAAGATGATTCTTTTCTTAAGCTGGCTTGCTTTCTTCTCCTTATCTTCTTCTTCTTCTTCCACATTCTGCAAATCAGACATAGTCACTACTACCCTCAATTCACATTTTAAGCTAAAAATTGAATCTTTATATCTAAACTTAGAGATTGTTACCTTTGAATTGTCATCACCAAGATGGTTTGATTCAGCTCGAGTAACGGCCGTGAGGAAACGCCGTTTAACAGGAAGCCGACCAAGGCGGGAATGAAGCAAAGGTTTGGTTTTGGCGTCACGGACGAGACGTAAGCTTGAGTAATTGGAGAAAGAGGGGAGAGTTAGGGTTTTTCTTGTGGATATACGACACGGGCAGATACAGAGAGAAGTCGATGAAAGTGGTGGTACTGGTTTATTGTACCTACAGGCTTCAACAAAAGACGCCATTGCCTTTCTCAATTTTTGAAATTAAGACCGAACCAGGGAAAAAAGTGTTCTGTTGTGTCTGAAACTCTGAATTACATCATGTCGGAATATCTGTGTGTCTGTGATTAGCTGAATTACTCGGCGAGTTTTGTACCGTAGCAACTTGGAAGAAGTACGATGTTACAATTAGCGGTCGGTTAAAACCCTCTAAGTCGGCTAGAGTCTTATTATCCTCGGCACTATTTTTGAATAAAAATGTTTTATTTATTTCTACAAGTAACAGAGAAAACGGAGACGAGAAGTTAAGAGAGGAGAGAACACACCAAAGAAAAACAGTGTTGTGAATTACAAAAGTTGAAAAAAGAAAGAGACGAAAATTCTAAGTCTTACGAAAACCGTAACACAATCTCAATCATCTTACTACGTTTAAGATTCAACACGAAAGACTGAATGTCATTCTGACACAGATTAGATTTTTCTTTTCCACGTCTTTTGGGTTTTTGCCGAAGCCACTTTTTGATGTGTGTGTGAGTTTGTGGTATATAGTTTTTTTTCCGGACGTGATCATGTCCTCTTCATAATGTATCCCAAGATTAGACCGATAAGTCCCACAAGAAGAACGTACATGAACGGGATTCCACCACCACTCTGACTTTTATTGCTTCCACGCTTTAACTGCTCCTGCAATCATAAAAACAAACAAAAGAAAATGGCTTCTTCATTACAACACAGGGAAAACTAGCTATGAAGTGCAGGTAGTAGTAGTTCAAAAATGGAGCAGGTGAAAGTTACTTACCAATTCTTGTTGAAGTTTTTTGTTCAGCTGAACCGCAGAGTTCTTTTCCTCGGTGAGCCTTGTGATGAGCGCTCTCGCCTGAATTCACACAAGTTCAACAGTCATCAATTTTTTACATGTAACAAAAGTGACCTTACACCTAACTCCAATGGTAAGTTTTGCCAATTAGTATCTACTAGGTTGTAAGAATTGCATAAACTGATTAGCGGAGATCTAAACCACAGCAGAAGAAACCATATTTCTCAAGACCACAGTATTCACGACCCAAAGTTTACACAGCTAAAACATTGCTCAAAGTTACAAACAAGGTAAGAATTCTTAACGGTGATAAACACAAGGGTTATGGTTCTTGGTCTAATAAGCTTAAGTGTACAATAAGGGAGCGATTAAGTTGCCAAAAAGACCTGACAGAAAGAATGATTCCGTAATGATATAATACTCGTACACTCTTTCTGATGCCAAGGTAGCTTAGCCCAGCTTCATGAAAGCTTGTATAAAAGATCAGAAAGTTATGTTAAAATACCTCAGATGGGTTATCCTGAGGTTCAAGCCTGTCCACGCTAAATCTTGGAGCCTAAATACAAACAACAAATCAACACGATTATTACCAAAGAAAACTCCTAGCATAGCCCCCACTACCACTAGTACTAAAACGGGTTCTACTTTCTTAGCTACTAAAACCTGAATTTCAAAAACTTACAGCAGTAAAATCAGAAGCGTTGTTCCCATTGTCAGAGACAGAAGCTCTAGGTGAAGAACCCTCTTCCGATCCTTCATGAACCGGTGAAGGCGGTCGTGGCGGATCAACATAGACAACTCTCAATTTAGTCTCCTCAACTCTATGCCCTGCCTCTTTACTAAACTGCAACGTTTCATCAAATAAAAAAAAGTCTCAGAAAACCAAATTATTCAAACCCCATAAAAAGAACAAACATGAATACCATCTCAGGAGTAACTTCTCTAGCAGTAACTCCGGAAGTAGCAACAACACATTGAAGCAAGAACTTGTCCTTGCACTGCATATCAGCAGGAGCTTCCTTCTGCGCTTGCATGGTCACTAGTTTCCCCAAATACAACAAACTCATAATCTCAGAGAACTATTAAATCTTTTATTCAGCAATTTCTAAATAACAGAGAGAAAAAGCAAAATCTGAACCAAGAACTTCAGAAGAGGATCTGGGAAGAACAACGCCAGTGTTAGGCCTCACACAATACTTCTTCGGATTCGTCGTTTTGACCTAATTAAACAATTGGAACATCGAAAAACCTTAAGAATCTTAACGATAAACTTCAAAAAAATTGAAGAGGATAGTGAAGTTATTAATTCACCTTGAAGGCGACATAACTGTCGGTTTTGTTAGCTAAGTAGAGAGAGCAAGAGATCTGCTTTTTCAATTCAACTATACATACAAATTCAAAACGATTATATATAAGGGAGATCTAGAGGAAGAGAATCATTTTGGGATGTATATGTATAAGCTTTACAAGGGAATTGAAGGTCGATGGGATCGATGTCGAGAAGTGCGTTACTCATATTCTGATTAGATCACCGGAGAATTAACCGTAGATAGAGAGAGAGAGAGGGTGGTGCTCGTCGTCGTCGTCGATGATCGCGGGTGGAGACTGGAGGAGACGATGTATGCCCTTCTTCTGACTCAAAGGTCCTCAAGGTACGTCACTTATATCCGGGGTATTATTGTCATTCTAACAGAAATGACCAAACTCTGTTTTTATTTTTTTTTATTAAAAAAGGTTTGACCAAGCGAAATCAATCGAGGTGGAAAACCCCCATTATCCATCCCTTTACTAATAATCACTTTTTTTTTTTTTTTAATCACCTAATTTATTTACAAGAACCAGAAAACTGTTTTTTTTTTTTTTTTGGTTCAACTTCTCATAGTTTTTCATTTTTTTTGGCGACGGCTAATTTTTTAAACGTATACTTCTCCGTTGAAAAGCATTGTAACAGAGATTGGCCTCGGTTTCCGCTTTTTTTACGTTAATCAATGTTTTTGACTGCATGCAAAACGTTGTGTTACTGCCAACTTGGTTACTCTTGTGCATGTATCAGTTTTTAATGATAAACAAAATATTGGACGACAATTTCCGTATGGTCTAATGACAAAGTAAAACGGCTGTTCAAACCCACTTGAAACTTTCAAGAGAAAGTTCTAAAAGAAAACACGTAAATATTATAACGATCCAATTCTGATTACAGGAATAAAAATGATGAATATTACGAATTACGATCGATCCAGAGGTCTCATGCCGACACTCAGTACACACAGTTAGCATGAAAAAACAAACAGAAAGCCATTACAAGATTATTTATTTGATATAACGATCTCTCGTAGCAAAGCCTTCTTTTACACCCGAGTCTTTGCCCTCGTCTCCAGAAGTTCCGTAGTCAAACACCACCGTTAACTTCCTCTGTTCATATGTCAACTCTGTATGCCACTTCCCCTCTTTTCACCGTCTTTCTTCTTAACCATCTTGTGGAAATGTACCACTTGATATTTACCATGATTCCACAACCACTCTCATTTTTATTGCTTTCATGCTTCAACTGGTCCTACAATCATATATACATGTTTTGATAATCAGAGAGGTTCGTGTTTGTCGGACAAATATAGAGTTGGCAGGGAAGAGTAGTTCACAGAAATGCACAGATCGGGGTGAATGTTCCTTTCCAATTCTTTCAAACCGATCAAACTTTCAAACCGATCAAACAAAAACGCCGTAAGCTAGGCCTCGAAAAAGCCCAAGCCGTCAACGACGATGTAGATCGACTCACGAAAGCAGAATCCATCCGAGATGTGTATTACCCCGATTGGCTGGCTAATCCCGTAGTGGTGAAAAAAAAACGGGAAGTGGAAAATCTGTGTAGATTTCACCGACCTAAACAAGGCTTGCCCCAAAGATAGCTTTCCGTTACCTCACATCGATCGCCTCATTGAAGCGACAGCTGGCCATCAGCTCTTGTCCTTTATGGATGCCTTCTCGGGATATAATCAAATCATGATGAATCCTGAGGATCAAGAAAAAAACTGCATTCATAACCGAGCACGGGACCTACTGTTACAAGGTAATGCCATTCAGATTAAAAAACGCGGGAGCTACCTACCAAAGGCTCGTGAACAAAATGTTCGCCGGACAGCTCGGAAAAACCATGGAGGTATACATCGACGATATGCTGGTTAAATCCTCAGCTGGGGAAAATCACATCTCCCACCTAAAAGAATGCTTTGATATCCTCAACAAATACGATATGAAACTAAACCCCGCAAAATGCACCTTCGGAGTGCCCTCAGGCGAATTTCTCGGTTACCTCGTAACCGAGAGAGGTAACGAAGCCAATTCGAAATAGATAGCGACCTTCCTGGAAATGCCGTCACCTAAGACAACCAGGGAGGTACAAAGACTGACAGGACGAATCGCCGCTTTGAACCGATTTATATCTAAGTCCACCGATAAATGCGTCCCATTCTACAAACTTCTAAAAAATAATAAGAAGTTTCTATGGGACGAGAAATGCGAGGAAGCCTTCAAACAATTAAAAGCTTACCTCTCCGAGCCTCCGATCCTATCCAAACCAGTAACGGGAGAATCCCTGTACCTATACCTCGCCGTATCAACTGCTGCGGTTAGCGGCGTACTGGTACGAGAGGAGCAAAATGAGCAAAGACATGTCTATTACACAAGCAAAAGTTTAATAGACGCCGAGACCAGATACCCTACAATAGAAAAGTTAGCTTTGGCAGTCGTAACAGCTGCCAGAAAGCTACGACCTTACTTCCAGTCACACTCGATCGTGGTAATGACCTCACAGCCAATACGCACGATTCTGCATAGCCCTAGCCAATCAGGACGATTGGCTAAATGGGCCATAGAGCTCAGCGAATACGACATCGAGTATAGACCCCGAGCAGCCATAAATGCTCAGGTCCTCGCCGATTTCATCATCGAGCTATCGTCCGAACAACTAGATCCGAAAGCTGAAGCTCTGGAATGGAGCCTGTATGTCGACGGAGCCTCATCAAAACAAGGTTCCGGAATCGGTCTAAGGCTGACCTCGTCGGCCGGAGAAACCATCGAGCAATCCTACAGGCTCGGAATTAATGCTTCAAATAACGAGGCCGAATATGAAGCGCTAATCGCAGGGTTAAGACTCGCCCTAAGCCTCGGAATCCGAGAGCTAACCTACAGTGACTCACAGCTGGTAGCTAGCCAGTTTCATGGGAAGTACGAAACAAGGGACGAAAGAATGGGGGCATACCTCGAAGTCGTACAAAGCCTCACTAAACAGTTCAGCAAATTCGAGCTAA